CTGTTAAAAGCGGCGTTAAACCCAACTCACTCACTCACTCATTATGGTTTAAACATATTTTTATTTCAAAAGAAATCTGGATCGGTAAACAAGCAAAACTTGCTTATGTAAATACCTCTCCAGGTAATAACTTTACAACAGCTGGGTTATTTTGCAGTTTGTTTGGCGAGTGCGATTCCACCATTTCGTTGAAAAACTGATAAGCTAGAACTTGTATTGTGTGTGTTGTGTTGTGCTGAGTTGTGGTCAGACTACTGGCCAGTATATGGTGTATTAGGTTTTTGTGTTGTTTAGACTGGAAGTAGTCCTTTTTTTCCAATACAAATTTTAAATCCGAGATATGCTTATTGTCGTCCCCTCTGTGTTCCGAATGCACAAGGGGCGGTCGGGTAGCCTAGTGGTTAAAGCGTTCGCTCGTCACGCCGAAGACCCGGGTTCGATTCCCGACATGGGTACAATGTGTGAAGCCCATATTGGTGTCCCCCGCCGTGATATTGCCGGAATATTGCTAAAAGCGGCGTAAAACCATACTCACTCACTCCGAATGCACAAAACACATTTTTGGATAATATTTCATTTAAAGATGTTTTTGTATGAATAACAGCTTGTTTATGTTTGTAACAACGTTTCAGGGCTACTTCATCAGGAGAAATTATGGAGCGTAAGAAGTAGCCCTCGAACGTCATCACAAACAAAAAAAGTTGTTATTCATAAACGTTCGATGTCTTCATGTTCTTCCCACTTCCACAGACCTGTAAAAGACTTAATATTTCATATATATTTTTGTTGATAATAACATGGAGTCTGCTCCAGCCAATGACAGGTGGTGTGTTGGAAGGTGGCGTTGATTACAATGGGTGGATCCAACGGATTCGGTAAGTACGGGAGGTTACCGCATATGATTTGTTTGTTTGTTTGTTGTTTAACGCCGCACTCAGCAATATTACAGCTATATGACGGCGGCCTGTAAATAATCGAGTCTGGGCCAGACAATCCAGTGATTGACATCATGAGCATCGATCTGTGCAATTGGGATACGATGACATGCATCAAGCAAGTCCGCGAGCCTGACCACCCGATCCCGTTAGTCGCCTCTTACGACAAGCAGTCTCCTTCACCGCACGAGGCAAAATAGTAAAACATATAAAAGTGGAACTGGTGAGCGAATAATTCATTCGAACGAGTTTTATTTTTTTCTTCTAAATGTGTCTGTGTTGATGTAATATTAGGAATAAATGGGTTTTTTTTCTATTTGTAATAGTTTTCTGAAACGCCTATCGAATAATTGAATAGAAAGTACATGCATGCATTTCTTTTTCTTTTTTAAACAATTGTTTATAACATGTTATAATTTATCTACAAGTTCTTAAAAGTCTCGATATCTTCTTCATTGTTCAGTTTTATTTACATTCAAACCTTGAAATGCATGACATTTGTTGGAAAGCTCAACGCAATAATGAGAGGGAGACAGTGCCTACGTGCGGTTCATCACAAGCGGGATGCGGCTTGACATTGTTTCGACATGAACAGGCTACTCCGCTCCTTTACTGTGGAAAAAAACATTGTTTATCAAATTCAGTATCTAAGGGAGGTAATTACTTAGTAGCAAAAATGTTGTAAGTAGGTCTAAGATAAAAAAGCAGGAAATGAATTGAAATCAATCTCGTCTTAAGTTAAACATTCCTGTATTGATTAAATATTTTGGGGGAATTATTTTATTGTAAATATAATTAGGTTTCTGTTGCACAGATTGAAGATTAGACTAACACATAATCTATGAAAGCATTTATTTAAAATAATTGTAATAATTATATTTCAAAAGAACCTCTGCTTTTTTCATATGTAGAATCAAGGCTAGGCTTTTAGTATATATATATATATATATATATGTGTGTGTGTGTGTGTGTGTGTGTGTGTGTGTGTGTGTGTGTGTGTGTGTGTGTGTGTTCCATCATGGCGCTGGACTTATTAGGCGTTAGCCTAACGCTGTTTGCAGTGACTGGTGTAATGGATAATGTGTTATCGATACGATAACCAAATTCCATAAACTTGTTATCACAATCCGATAAATATGGAAATGAGGTCACCTGGCAAGAACTACTTTTGATACGCGTGTGTGACTTCAGTCCTACTTGCTCAATAAACTATTGCGTACCGTTCCTAATACGTTTAGACAGGGCTTCTCCGATTTGTGAGTACTCCTGTAAATAAACATGACTGCAAATCATTTAGTGCTACATAATAAAATGAGGCGATTTACTCAGCCCTTGAATTCACTCATATATTTTAGTGTGTGAAAATACGTCTTAAATTTCGATTATCTTATAATGACATTTTTTAAATATCTTTAACATTTTTATGATAAAGATCTTAATACCCTTGAGTGTAGCACATATGCCATGTCATAATGAATACAAAATGTATAATGATCGTATGATTCAAGTAAAAGATACAAGGATACAATTGCAACATATGGTATTTACGATACACAATCGGCTAGTATAATCTCTGTTTGCAAGATCGCTATATGGCTGAAATAATGCCGATGCGACGTTAAATTTTAACTCACTAACTGTTTGAAAGATACAAGGGTGTCCACGTTGCAGCTTAGTCATTAGCGCACATCGGCGCGAAGTACCCTTAAGGCCTCGCTTTTTAACTTGCTTCACGGATCCGCAGTCTGTAAATTTTGTTGAAACAAAATCAGAATTTGCTTGTTCTTTTTTCCATCCCGCCGATAAGCTGATAACATGAGGCTCCAAAAATATTTTCTAAACAAGGACTCACTGTTGACATGTATTAAACATGGGATTTAAAATAAATACAGTTTGTTGTTCCTGACATTGATAGATGCACAACTGTGTTTCCGCTAGATTCATCAGGTCAGCGTTGCATAAAGCAACAGCTCTGTTGCAGGTTCTCCTCCTACATTAAACCATTTCTGGTTTTTTTTTATAGAAGCTTACCTGTAGAGGAGGAGGAAAAAAACAGAATTGCTTTTTCCCCCACCTACCGACAGGTAATTTCCTGTACATTTCTGTAGAGCAAGTCAACAAGAGTTGGACACGCTGGTCAAATATCAGCATGGGCTGATCTTTATTTCTGTATAAATTACAATAAATAGATCTTAATTGTGCACCCCCCTTTTCAAAAAAGCTGTATCCGCCCATGATCAGGTCTGGGGATTTGGAAAGTTCTGTCATGGTTGTTTAGTTTTATTTAGGGGTTAGACGTTGTAACTTATAACAGTGAAGCAGATACGTTTCCGAGTGAAGGAAGCCTGCACTGAAACCAACCCCGGAGCAGTCTTACCGCTACGATTGTCGTCTGCCGGAAGTCACGACCATCTCAGTGCTACGATCGCTTGTGACACGGACCCAATCAGGTACAGCTTCACGTTCAGGCGGCTTCTTTCAGAAAAGTTAAACGTGATTGTCAGATATTATTGGGTTTTTTTTCAATATTATAGTTACCACAAGCCATTGCAGATCAGATTTCATTGATCTGCTGTTATGACACTGACGGGATCACTTGTGAACGGAGTTAGATTCATTGGCCTTGAGAAACTCGAGATGAGTTCCTGTTGTGTGATACCACTAGACATTATCAGCTGATCATGATCCACAGGGGCAATCAGTTTTTTTTCATTAGAGCTCACTACATACCTAAGAACACATGGCCATCTGAATGAATGACCGTTTGATTGATTGTTTGTTGTTTAACGCCACACTCAGCAATAGTCTATCTATATGACGGAGGTCTGTAAATAATCTTGTCTGAACCAGACAGTCCATAGATTGACATCTCCGTGCATCGATCTACGCAGTTGAGATACGATGACATGCATCAACCAAGTCAACGATTTTGACCACCGATTCCGTTAGTCGCCTTTTACGACAAACATGGGTGTCTGTAGACCGAGTCATGGTGACAATATTGCATAGACGTCACGGTGGGGGCAGAGATTCAGTTTCAATTCACTGGCCTAACATCGACACGACATACGAGCCCCATCCTAAAGAACTGGCCAGAGTCCTGTTCCTCAAAGCGATCATAGAGCCAAGGCGACAGTAACTCCCATATTGCAATATAGACTTACCATCGTAACACCAACATGTTTTGTTTGTGCACCCTGAGCAATATCTAAACAAAGACGTTGAAGACCTACAAGCGTAAGAACTCCAGAAACGTTCCACATTACCCATGATTGTGGCTGGGGCCCATTGGTGATTATTGGGAGGTTGAAACACATGTGACCAAAGGAATTTGTAGCAGTCCAAAAAATATCATATTTCATAACCCATGCATCCCAGGAGGTGGAGGGAGAATAAATGTCTCTATGGCAAAAATGCTACTTGATCTATTTAACGCTACCATGGTGTGACCGGGCTGGCCCATTCTGTGTAAGGAGAGGTCTTCAGTAACCCATGTTGGTAGTAAGAGGCGACTAACCGATCGGGTGGTCAGGCTCTAACTTAGTTGATGCATGTCATCCTATCCCAATAGTGAGGATCAATGCTTGTGATATCACCAGATTGGCTGGTCCAGACTCGATTCTTTATAGATCACCGTCATATAGCTGGAACATTGGTGAGTTCGCCGTTAAACAAACAAACAAACAAACATTGTGTATCAGTGTCCCCACATCATGCTCGTGTCGTTGACCACTGCTCATGTCAGCACCCAGAGATCTGCCAGGACAAAACTTGTTTACTTACAGGCAGCCATGGAAAACCTGGGATATTACTCTTTAGTCTAAACAAAGTTACCCAATCACTCGCTACTGGAGATGCTACGCCCATTGTCCAGGCATAACAGTCAACCTTTACCATTCTTAGGGGAGAAAATTGCAATGATGGGCATATTTATCCCGTAAACCATGTGTTTGGAAAGTATTTCAGAATCTTCAGCCTTAGTGTGATGATGACCTTCAGATGACCTTCTCAAGGTTGTTGAACCATAAAGCCCCTAATGACAAGCACAAAAAACAAACTCACCAGTCATGGTTCAATGGTGTACATTCTCAATGACATGCTTGATTAAATATGTGACAAGTTTTACAAAAAACAAACTGACTCTCTACAATTTCATGCAACTCATTCTTGACAGTGTGTCCATTAAAAAATTGCACTTATGAAGTAATGATATTGAGAATAGACTTTACATATAATTTACACTATTTACATGTATGAAACACATATGGACACTATGTACAAGCAAATTAATATGCCAGTTACATATCTACACTATATTCTAACATGATCCCTGTATCATCAACAGTGGTAAGCACTATCACAGAAGGGACACCCAAAATGGGCTTCACACATTGTCCCCACTTGGGGACTAAAACCAGGGTATTGGTCTGACAAGCAAACACATAGCGTACTCCCCCACCCCACAGAGCTGACCATGGCAGGAGGGGCAATCTCAATAAGATCACATGTTTTACTCCCATAGGACACCTTTCTAGGGGAAGATTTGAGGGCAACTCCACAGAAGGTTGTTTCAATAACCCCAAGGGAACTTTGACCACCCAAAATGAAGGATGCCTGGGCTATTGAGCCACTTAGATCTCATCTTTCTAAAATGATATGGCTTCATTTCTTAACCATCTCAATTTGAAAATTTGATCTCAACAAATGAAAACCACACAGAACACAAATATTCCTTTGATGGTACTCTCTTTTGAGTTGTGGATGCCATGATGGTCAGAGACAATAGGGTGTCAAAAATATCCAAAACAATATTATGGTGTGGCCTTTATTATTTGCTTTTGGGACTGTCTGTTTAAGTTTAATATCAAGATACAGAAATCAGATATACCGGGAATTCAGAAGCCTTGACACTGATTGGCTCATTAGAATGTTCACCTAAGCCATGTCAGAGGTATTATATCGGAGTAAAACACCTGATTTAATGAGACTACAGTGAGTGGGGCACATATCTTGACATAGACAACTCTTCATTACATACTACATACTATAGTAAAACCTAACGCTGGACGCATAAAACCCCTTGTACCCCGAGTGATCCTGCTACAACTCACCAACATGTTTTAACATGATATTATAAAAGAATTAAAACAAATTCAAAATTGATAGCAAACATTTGTTTGATTGAGCGGAGGTTACCTTGTGCTATGTCACGTAACTTTCATTGACTTTTTGCTTCGAAGCAGGGTATAAGGGATTTACTCTGCCTCTCAGAAACCCACGTGCGGCGTTTTGCTCATGGTAGGGTATAAGCGATTTATTCACCCTCTGAGGAAATTATTTCCCTCCACGGCAGGATACATAGTATTTTATCAAGATCACGTGGACCAGTCAGATCTCATCATTCTGACATGGAGGTATGATAAAATGTGTTCTCCCAATCTAGCTATTGGTACAGAGTCAGGTAGAACTTACACACATGCACCTTATCAATTCAAGGAGAAATGTTTTTAAAGTCTTGGTTTACAGATGTTTTATGAATATTATTCTGTGGGGAATAAAATAGAATATGAGACATTTGTTTCTGTTTTTCAAGAGTTATCTGAATATACTGCCATATGCAGCATGTTCAAGTCAATCTTATCAAGTCTTGTAGTTAACTGTTTTTACATGATGTACATACACTTTTTTGGGAGTCAATACTTAAAATTTGGTCAAAAGCATTATTTAGCATTGGCCGATCTGTAAACCAATACAAAAACAGTATTGCCCATACAGTTGCTAACCTGACATTATGTATATAAATGTAGTACCATACTAAAGCAGCAGATTTTACACACATTAACACACAGGAAAATCTCTAGATCTAGGGTGACAGCAACACACACCTTGCTAATCATCCACCATACAGCAGTTCATGGGAGTCCGGTTACTTCACAATGGACTTCCACAATAGAGTCTCCGCAACGGACACTCCACAACGGACACTCCACAATGGACACTCCATAAAGGACACTCCACAACGGACACTCCACGATGGACGCTCCACAGTGGACGCTCCACAACGGACACTCCACGATGGACCCTCCACAGTGGACACTTCACAATGGACACTCCACAATGGACACTCCATAAAGGACACTCCACAGTGGACACTCCACAACGGACACTCCACGATAGACCCTCCACAGTGGACACTTCACAATGGACACTCCATAAAGGACACTCCACAGTGGACACTTCACAATGGACACTCCACAATGGACACTCCACAGTGGACACTTCACACTGGACACTCCACAGTGGACACTTCACACTGGACGCTCCATAAAGGACTCTCCACAATGGATGCTCCGTAACGGACACTCCACAGTGGAGGCTAAAAAACGGACACTCCACAATGGACACTCCATAACTGGATACTTTAGTTCGGAACGTGTTAGCTCAAATTGGTTCTTGCTTCAAGTACATGTTTCAAATTCAGCAAGGGGCTGCTGCAGAAGCCCTACACTCATTATGCTGCTGGTAGTACTTTTGTCTAGCACTGAGGTAAACCTTGAAGTCCATCAGCCAATGCGGCCCTTACTATGGTTATGGTGCACACATTATGTACTGTGTTATTGTTGACCATCCGATCCCATTACTCGCCTATTACAACATGCATTGTCGCCTTTTATGGCAAGCATGGGATGCAGAAGACCTATTCTACCCCGGATCTTCATGGCTACATGGCTTTCTGAATAATGAGTGAATGAGTCCAGGGTATCATAACAGAATGTAGATATAATACCCTAGCTACTTGAGGATGATTTTTGCATAAAAAATTAAAGAAAACAATTTGTAGAAAAACTGCCCCATTAGAGGTTGAGAATATATGTTGAGTAGCTGTCCAGCAAATTTTTTGCTGGACCCGTAATTATTTGGTAGCACTCATCTTAATGGTTACCTGAAAATATATATTTGTACAACCCTGTTCTATTTTCTGCACACATCATTCACATCCTCCTAGTCTTCGGGACCTGTTGCAGTCTCAGACTCCTCGCTGATGGGATCATAGCTGGACTTGGGGTTGACATCTGCTTCAAAGGATGCTTGCTGGTCACCTGTGAGCCTCTCAATAGCACGGAAGAACTCGGAGAAATCCACATAAGCTTCCACTCGGCCGTTCTCATCCAGCTCCAGCTTGGGTGCCTGGTACCTCTGCTGGAAGGGCCGTGCATCGCCGGAGCTCTGGGTGGAGTTGGTGCTGGTACCTGTGCTGGTTCTCGTGCCCATGGTGGTCTCCGTGGAGAGGTACCGACTGCCGGGGTTGTTGGTGGGCGTGAGGGGCTGGGAATCGGTGTAGCTGCCCACGGAGAGGTTGGAGTGGGAGTAGTTGCTGTTGGAGGGACTGATGGGGCTGGGGATGTTGAGGCTGGGGACGGCTGTTGGGGACGGGCTGTTGAAGAAAGGGGGCAGAGAGACAGGCACTGGGTTGAATCGTGTTGCTGCAGTCGGACTTTCAACTCCATTGCCCAAAGGTTGGTGAAAGTTTCGTACGAGCAATGTGATATCATCTCTCTTTTGACAAATCTGTTTCCTGTAGCCTTGTGCTGTCATGTATGTGTCATGGTGTATACGGACAACTTTGTCCACGACGGCCTGTGCCACCCCATTCAGCGTGGACTGGTTCCCGAACTCCTGGAGAACCATGTAGGTGATCTCCACGTTCACCTTCTCCGTGCCTGTGGCATCCTGCAAGGCCTGGTACAGCCCGTCGGACATCATGATGAGAAAGCTGGTGTTGTCAGTCAGGGGCACTCCTCCCTCAAGATGGGGCTCTGCTATCACAGGCTCACTTCTCGCATGACTAAAACACAACAACAGTTTCAATAGCTCAGGCATTTACATTGGTCTCGATGATGAGTTTTTGTTGTTGTTTTCGTTGTTTTGTTTAACCCACAAGCTGGTGGCCAGTATATAATCAAATCTGGATCAGTCAATTCAGTAACTGATGTGAAGGACAAAGATCCATGCGAACTAGATTCAAACACACAGATATAAACCCCGAGTCTGAGTCATGGCAACTTTCACTAATCATATTGGGGCCCCAGTGAGATGTAAGATGAGTAAATAAGTATAAAATTTCAAATAATGTTAGATTTTGACATACCTCTATTAAGAATCTGGCAATTTCATTGGTTAATCCGTACCATGTGACAAAACATTACACTTCAATGTAGACCACCAAATCATGTGACACTGACCTCAAATATTGACTTGTCACATGATCAGTATTGACAAGTCACGTCAGAAGTCACGACAAGTTGCTAGAAAACAAGATGGCGTCTCGAATACTAACTTTTTACGGTTCACAGCTAAGTTACTGTAATGAAACAGAGGACAGTTTAAAGGCTTCAAAAACTTCAAAGTAAATTTCGGTATAGGAAAACAAATGAAAACTCTTGAGAATGTCAATGTACAAAAACAAAGACACTCCGACCCGATCACTTCAGCAGTCAGACCATCTCTGGGGTCGGGTCCCCTGTCCTTGTTTTTGCACATTGACCTCATCGAGTAATTATTTGTATAGTATTTGTGAAGCCTTATGCTTACTGTGTTTTATAGAGGGGACTTTCCCTGATGCATCAAAATATATTTTAAAATATAAAATGAACTTTGATTGTATATCTTATCAAAATAGAAATATTTGTTACCATCAGTTAAACTTTAACATGTATGCTAGAATTAGTTTCAATGCTTAGAAAGTGAGTCTGAACCAAAATATAGCTCTGCATCTGAAAACCAATTTCTCACAAGTCACAGCTCTTGGATAACATGTGAAATTCTTTCTTTATGTCATTTCAGATGTTATTTTTTCGTCAAAACCAAACAAATATTTTCCATTTATAATGAACAGTATTGAAATATCTCAAAATCCCAATATCCTTGAATAAGATGAAAGTCTGCGCTATGTCAAATATTGTATTTACATTTGACAGCCGTAAGCTTCATGATCATTGAAATACATGTACTACTCAAATATTTATGCAAAAGCTAAAACATCATGTCATTTCCAAAAACCCTGCAGGGATACCTGGGTTGAATTGATCCCCAGCAACCTTTGCCTGTCGTAAGAGGCAACCAAACGGAACAGGGCCCTGTTCCACAAAGCCATCTTAGCACTACCATGATCGGAAGCCTCCGTTAAAGTATGGGAGTTACGATCAACTTAGCGCTAAGATCGTTTTGTGGAACAGGTTCAATGACTTAGTTGATTGCTTGTCATCGTACTCCGAACGGCATGGATCGTTGCTCACAATATCAATTACTGGATTGTCTGGTCCAGATTTAATTATATACAGGCCAGAGTCATAAAGTTGGAATGTGTGCAGCATTAAACAACAATCAACAAACAAACCTAGAAGACAATGTCAACTGATATTGTGTCTTAAATCTGCTCAAACCAAAGACAGCCAACACAATAACTGTTGTGTTTTTCATTATATAATAGAAATTATTATTAATATCTGTAATTTGAAATGGTTTCACTTCTTCTTTTACCACCAACATTGATTTTTAGGCCAAACATTTTGGAATCCAACTAATACGAAATGCATGTTTTCCAACCTTAGAATATCGATGTCCTTGTAACCACCTTTCACATGGTAGTCACCGATACAGCGTGTGTTGTCAGAGTTTCCGATCTTCCTCAGCTGTTTGAGTCGTTCCACATCGAGACCTAGTCTGGTGAGGCGTCGTTGCTCTGATTCATCATTGAGTGTGTGGTCGTATGTGAGTTGCGTGACACGAACACGGTTGTCCTCCTTCACCACCAGCAGGACTCGCGAATCACCTGAACACAATAGAGAGCGAGTTTGGGATTCACATCACTTTGAGGTGAGGTGAAATGATGTTTAATGTTGTGATCAAGATTTTTCACTCTAATCATGCTAATAACGACATGCATGCACTTGGGCTGTTTGTACAAGTCTGGACTTATGGACTTTTATAGTTCTAGCCCATTGAGATACCATGAGCAGTCTAACAAGGATACCCACTCACAGTATACTGACTTCGAGCTGGACGGTCCTTGTTTTATCCTCTTAATGCCCAGTGCCAGGCAGGGTAACAACAAGGACCATCTTTCAATGTTCCACTGACCTTCCACCACAACATGGAGGTGTTAGCACCACTCTGAACAGTATTTCATTAATTGTGTACATTATGTGCATTAGGTGAGGGGTAATGGGGTTTGACGTCGCATCCAAGATTATTGCACTTAAATAGGGCTGTGCATGCACGTGTATGTGTGTGTGTGGCTGCTTGTACTAGTCCGGACTGAGGCCAATTTATTATGCTAGCACACTGAGATACCATGCAACAGTTTAACATGAACACCCCACTCATACATAGTTTTAGCGCCTTTTGCTGAGCGCCAGACAGGGTAACAACAAGTACCATCATTTAATGTCTTTTGGCATCACGCAACCGGGGATCAAACTCCGGACCTTCCACTCTCCAGGTGGACACTTTACCACTAAACCACGGAGGCGGTCACATCACGTGCATTTATACAAGGCCTTTCATGATATAAAATGTGGACATCCAACACAGGAATATCAATCCTGCTCATAATACAATACTGAAGAACTTATACACGTGTAGGAGAGTAAGCATACCTGTGAAGGAGAACAATAGACCAATGTACAAACACGACTTCACCTACCAACATTGGCCACATACAGCTTCTCATTGAAGGCGAGCACGACTGACGCAGTTGTCCCCCCTGCTATCTCCAGATCCAACTGCTGAATCCTGTTGACAATGTCGGGGTACTTCGTGAAGGCATCGTAATGGGTGATGCCCTGTTGTACAGAAATACATGTATCAGTAATAAGTGATAACCAGACTTTCACGATTCTGTAGACAAGCATGGCTGTACTTAATTTGCCGCAATATGCTGCGGTTCACCCAAACATTGCATTCATACTTGATTGTCACAGATTCTACATTGAGTAAAAATACAGCTCAATCATGGATTATTTTAAGTGAGTGAGTGAGTTGGGTTTAACGCTGGTTTGAACATTATTCCAGTTACATCACGGCGTGTCAACTTAATGTGGGAGGAAAGCCCAAAGCAATCAGGTCTCAGACGTTTACCACTTCGGTGAAACCCATGAGCACGGGTATGGTGCTGACAAACCTAGAAACATAATCAGGGCGAACCGGGATTCGAACCCAGAATCATAGGTTTCTGGCATGCCCAAGGGACGCAACTATGCACAGTGAATTGCGGCGCCTTAGACGGCTAGGCCACCCATGCCCCCGGGTTATTTTAAGAATAAACTATGTGAAAAAGATATTATTACCCTCATGTGTTTCCATATTGTACATATCATATGTTAGGAACATAAGTTGTGTTATGTGAGACAAAAGCCAAAGGCTTGCATAATACAAGTTTTATTCCTAACAAATGATACTTACGATTAGGAAACACATTGGCTCTAGTTTCAAAATACAATTTGAATTGTAGGAATACCACCAAATCACTTACATCGGGCAGCTCCAGCTGACAGTTGGTCTTTTGAGCAAGTAGGTCATCAATGGTTTCAAAATACCCCTTCTCCACAGCATGGAAGGCCTGCAAGAACAAACATAATCCTCAGCAACATGTACATTTGATACATCCATTTATAACATGACAAATTCCATTCAGCAAGCTGACATGGTAGGAATGTTATCTGTAAGATTCCTCCACGCCCTGCTACGTATGGATCAATTTATATTAGGCAATATGAACCACAGCCTGCTACCTGTAATGTGATTGTAGGCATTTCACACAGGCCTCAGAGCAACGAATGGTAGTTCCATTTGATTCAGTTGTAGCATTCAAAGAGGTATGTTTGGAGTCCAGATTTAAACACAGATACTAGGTGCACTTTTGAGGCAGAAGGGGAGATGCCCAGTCCCATCTTAGTGTTTAAAAAACCCATTATTGGTTGTTCATTTATATCAATTGAACAATACACGCACATGTTTTTGTATAGAGATGCATACAACAAATTACTCAATACTCAAAATAATTTTGTTATCATGCAAACAGATATTTCTTTCAAATAGGTTTCATTTGCATGTTGTTGATTTTCTTAAACAACAGTAAGTAATAATATGTGTCAGTATTGAAATTTTTGTTTTTAAAATAATAAATATTTGAAAATTAGTTTTCCTTCTTTGTTTTTTAAATGTCCCATCTTAGTTTTACTGCTGCAAACAAACTGACATTTTAGGCATATTACATCTCAGCCTGGAATGAGAGTCCTCTATAACTATATGTTTTTGACAGCCATGTTTATCGCAATTTCTCCCACTATAACGAAAGGTATGACGACATGCAGACATTGTAAATACTTGAGTGATGGCTTGTTTTCAAGATAAAGTTGTTTATAGGTGAATGGGATGTTTGACAGATGTTCATGTGCTTAGTGAGAAAACTACAAATGTTTCTAAAGCGCCCTAAAACCCATTATGTGAGGATACCTAAATGCATAATATAAGGGGGAATCTAAGTCAGACCTGGCGCAAAACTTCCAAGATGGCTTCATCGGATGTTTTGTTGTTCAGCTGTCCGAACAACAACTCTGCTGGCATACGCTGAGCAGCAAAGTTGGCAGCCTTGCTTCCACTGTGGCCATCAAACATGCCGTACAGAAAACACCCATCAAACGGTCTGCAAAGACAAAAGCAGCTTTCAGATGGTAAAGAAACACACCTGACACACATGGGGTGCCAGATATCAACAGAAACAGGGAGGAGATGTCTGAAACTGAGCTCTACTAGAAACTAGCAATACTTCGGAGTGACCAAGAAGAGGTTGTCCCCCTTTACAACTTGTGGTGCTCTCATTCCCTGGTACTCCTGGCGTATCACCAGCTGATCTTAACATCAAGAAAAAATGAATGGAAAAATAAGAACTCTTCTTTATTTGTATCAAGGATATTCACTTGAATTTTTCAAAAACATCTATTTTAACGAAGTTTGGCGAAGTAGTATGTTTCGCACATTGTTTTCTCACCAATTGGTGAACTCACTATATGACGTAAATGGCCTTTGTCACATTTCTGTTGTTGAAAGAAAGAGGAGAATATTTCAATCCTTTAATCCCACTCATACTCATGCCTGCTAGAGTGTGAACAGAGGGGAAGGTTTGTGTGATCAAGTGTGTAATTTTGGAGTTAGCTTGTGTGATCAAGTGTGTAAATTTGGAGGTAGCTTGTGTGATCAAGTGTGTAAATTTGGAGGTAGCTTGTGTGATCAAGTGTGTAAATTTGGAGGTAGCTTGTGTGATCAAGTGTGTAAATTTGGAGTTAGCTTGTGTGATCAAGTGTGTAAATTTGGAGGTAGCTTGTGTGATCAAGTGTGTAAACTTGGAGGTAGCTTGTGTGATCAAGTGTGTAATTTTTTAGGTAGCTTGTGTGATCAAGTGTGTAAATTTGGAGGTAGCTTGTGTGATCAAGTGTGTAAATTTGGAGGAAGCTTGTGTGATCAAGAGTGTACATTTGGAGGTAGCTTGTGTGATCAAGTGTGTAAATTTGTAGGTAGCTTTTGTGATCAAGTGTGTAAATTTGGAGGTAGCTTGTGTGATCAAGTGTGTAAATTTGGAGGTAGCTTGTGTGATCAAGTGTGTAAATTTGGAGGTAGCTTGTGTGATCAAGTGTGTAAATTTGGAGGTAGCTTGTGTGATCAAATGTGTAAATTTGTAGGTAGCTTGTGTGATCAAGTGTGTAAATTTGTAGGTAGCTTGTGTGATCAAGTGTGTAAATTTGGAGGTAGCTTGTGTGATCAAGTGTGTAAATTTGGAGGTAGCTTGTGTGATCAAGTGTGTAAATTTGGAGGTAGCTTGTGTGATCAAGTGTGTAAATTTGTAGGTAGCTTGTGTGATCAAGTGTGTAAATTTGGAGGTAATTTCCTCCAACAAGACCATATATGGAGCCCCTGTATATAAAGGCTCCCCATCTGCTGTATCTTCATTTCCCTTGAAACAATAACAAATATTAACAATAATTGTTGAATATACATGATATAGATAACATTAATTAGATAAAAACCTAAAATGGAAGCTCTTGTCTTCAAACTCATGTTCTTCGCGTCGGTGGCCATCATCTCTGTAAATCTGATTGGTGGAGAAACCAACGCCCGACAGATAGCACACCGGGAGGTCATCCGTCCAGCTCAGAGCGTGACCCTGTAACAAGGGGGGTAACCATGACATCAAGAATGCTTACTTCTAACACTTCTGGGATCACTACGCATGTTAACTGTGAAAGGACTAACTTATCTCAGTGACTTGGCCTCATGTTGTTAATGATGATATATTGGAGAACCCACAATGGTTTAGTAATAGGAACTCATTTGGACACCATGTTATTCATAAGCACGAAAAGGTCTTTTAGCATGTTTAGATTTTTATTATTCGGTTTAAAAAATATTTTTCCTGCATTCAGCATAAGTAGTCAATTTCAACTTCCACAATAACTAACTATCATGTCCTCTAAACAGCCATGAATCATACACTTAAATAATTCTTGGAAACCAGATAAATTTGTGGGATGGTTTGATGTTGTTGGCTGACAATTTACTCTTTTGCTTTTAGGCCAAAACATTTATGTTGTCATGTACTCTGTATGTTCATGGGACAACACATAATTGTGAAACAGAGTAAAGTAAACATATCCCACCTTCCAAATTTGTCAAAAAGATTTCCAATATCAGCTTTTATATATTCGTCAGTCTTGTAAACCAATCAATAAGAAATCCAAGGCATTATGAATTTTGGTTTGGGCCACACTGATTTACTTAGGACTAATGTCACATTCTAATTAGGAGATAAACATGTTTTCAGAGTTGCAGGTTTTATTGAGTATTTGACAAGTGGAAACTTCTTTTGGAAACCACAGCATTAGCCAAGAGGGTTCAAATGTTAAAATCATACCAGATACAATCTGCAACTCTGAACATGCTGCAAACACATATTGTTTATGTATATTGTTTTTTTATATCAGCAGTTTTCTGAACTCTCTCTATGTGAACTCTCACAGTTGTGAGACAGACATGACACAACTCTGGAATGCTGACATCACTCTGGAATTCTATGATGTCATCATAAAATCGATGACATCACATGCTTCTGTGATAACTAAACTCACCTCGTTAGCATATGAGTATGAATACTTTTCTTAATTAGCCTTTTCTTTCTCAATTCCTTATTTAAAAAATGTGGTATTTGGTTTGGAAAAGTTTATACCCGTGTAAATTGTTTAGGATCATTACTCCCTATGTTCAAGTATTAAATTACTTGTACAGATTCTTGGTACAACACTGATAAGTTTCCAGCTCAAAATATTTTAAAGTTTTTTTCTTTCCTGACTAATTACATACTAACTATGCATACCATGCCAATCAGTCTACAACTTAATGCATTTAATCAAGTTATTTATATTCATAGCTGTGAAATTATCTTGATTATTCTAACCATGCTTACAGATATCTTTCACTCCCAATCCTATGAACATGATAAAAGATGCCACTTAAATGCTTTATAAGACAAGCATATATCATATCTTCTTATTTTAAATTTGAAACAATGACTACTGAACATTCCTGCTATAAGCAGATAAGACTTAAATTAAAATACATCCATGGTAATGGTACCTATTGGGAATTGACGGGTCACTCTGTAAAATGATTATTGATAATCATTGGTAAGAAGTCTTTGGCATAAATTTCATTGAATGTTGGATTACATCAAGTTCAATAACAATGAATGTGTATATTGTGTTCATGATTCTGAGGAAGATTTAAATCTTCACCATACACTCAAGTCACACTAAAATATAGCCCTTTTAAATCCTGTTTGTCATTAAACATAGGATACACTTGTCGTTTTTGTGTCAAGGCAAACAGTAGCTAACAATGCATCCATGGACATGTACACGCCCACATTTAAAAAATAAAATATCCGTAAACATAGTCAGACAATTTGTACAGATGTAAGTATGGTGCAGCCATTACAATTAAAATATGGCATATGTGACAACGCATCCATTCAGCAGAGAACACACAGTGCATCAACATTTTGCATCATACCAGAACATTATCCTAAAGTTTGGGTCACAGTAACATGAGCCTAAAAAATGCTTCCTTCCAGGAGAAATAGAATATGCAAGCTGTCAAGGTGCATCCGTCTTTTAACTTAAAATTGCATTTGAAGCCAGTGGCATTACGCACCTGCATTCCTAGTCTAGGAGGGTGTCCTACCGACCCATTTGTTAATCTCCCGTCGCTCATGACTTCGGGAACAGGCCGATAAACACCTACAAAAAAACTTTTGGAAATCCCCAACTTTCCAGTATTTTCCGGAAGTTGGAACCCGGAAGTATACCTAGCAGTCAGCGTGTTATATTAAAAGTAAGACTTGGTCAGCCGTCAACGATATATAATAAATATATCCTCAGCATCTATTTTACAAAAGTATCTATACAAAATACATAAATAGACATATTTGATTTATATATAGTCTTCCTTTTAGAAACATCGTGTACATCTACAACCAGACATTGGTTCACAATTCGTTTTAAACCATGCATTCCATATTTTTACATGCAACCCGGATTGAAAACTTCCGTACCGACAGCTGTCACATGTAAGACACGGACCGGCTGAAGAGAAGGTTAAGGCTCCATGGTCAAACTGCGATGCGGGACTTGCCTTGCTGCCCGTCATAAATTTATGAACTAGAAAAATATTCCTTAGAATAAATCTGATTTAGTACTGGCAGAAGTGGTAGTTGTCGTCTTACCGAAATGGACACCTTGTGACCTACGTACGGCCAGTCAAATCAGCTGATGAATATGTCAAATTACAACGTGACTGGAAGTTAAAATTAGGGCTGGGACGAGTAACTCTGGTACCCGGGTCGGGTGGTTACTGAGTAGGACCCGGGTGCCCACAGGACTATCCAGACCCGTGGTTAGTCACGTGATATTCAGTTTAATGACAAAAAAATATCTAGAACTCTATGGCTACACTACAAGTCATTTATGTTCGCATTTCTTTCTGACTATGCACCCATTCCTTCTGATTTTTCATATGGTTGATTAAAGATATAACTTAATTCAACTTCAGTGTACGAATGACCAGATTGTTTAATACATGTATCTAAATACATTTTTTGGTAGGGCTATGCTAAAAATGTTCCCAATCAGACATTTTGAGACATCTCCTGAGACCTACAGTGGGTACCAGGGTAGGGTCGGGTAAAGAGTGGTGGGTACCCGGGTAGTAAATTTGGACTCGTCCCAGCCCTAGTTAAAATGCATACCAAAAACACTTACTTGATGCAATTAACTCTCGTCCACACACTATAACATGAGGCCGATTCTAAGGTGAAAGGTGATTCGTATGGCAATGAAAATCTTTAGTAAATAATATATCAATAAATCAACAGTTTGAAGATATTTTAGTTGAAAGGATGATAACCCCCATTAAACACCCCCTACACCTCCCAGCCTTGTATACATACTGCATGTATATGTACTTAAAGGGGCACTAGCTGCCGTGAGTCGATTTGTTTCACTAATGCAACTGAGCGTGACAAGAGACTGGGATACCATCTGTAAGGACAGCGTAAATAACTTAAAGGCAATATCTATTTGCTCAATTTTTATTTGTGCAGAGTTGTGTCCCTTTAGCGTCCTTGCAACTGAAGAAGGGCATGGAGTCATCCCACAGATGGCATCCTTACCTTGTCAGCTTGCTGATGGGGTTAACATCTTTGGTCATGTGGACAAGGCATCAGAAGTCCAGGACTCAGATATTTTATGGCCGCTACACAACCTATGATCGTGGGTTTGAATCCCAACTTACCCTCATTATGTATTATTGTTTGTCAGCTCTATTCCCATGCTGTACTGAGTTAAGGTTCTGGATTGTTTAACATGGATGCCCAAGAGGTTTTTTTCCAGTGCCTTTTTACACTAGCTTGTATGAAATATTTTTTTAGACCATGTCGTTTTTATCCCATGTTCATTTTCATTCCAAGGTGAAAAAGCCAAAGCTTTACACTCCTGACAATGTATCCAAACATTCAGGTGCTGACACCAAGTAACAAGATTAGACATGGCAGATGTTAATTATCCCCATTGGTTTTATGTATGTATTATTTCATTATGTTTGTAAACTCTATTTATTGTTATAAACTTCTCATTTGCAGGTAACTTGTACATCAACAGGATTTATTTGTTTAATCAGCACATATTTTTCAACGGACGTCTGTAATGTGGTACCAGAGTTGATTGAGATGGGCACCAGGGGGCGTGTGTTGGCATTGTATCGGCAGATCTTGCGACTGTCTAGATCGTGGGAGTCACAGTCAGGAGTGGCTGCAGAAACCCAAACAGAAAGAGACTACATCAGGACTGAAGCGAGACAGCTCTTCAGGCAGAACAAGGCTGTAAGTGTCTGGTGCAGGATTTGGGGAAAACAAAGCAGGTGTCAGGTAACAATTTCGGGGAAAACAAGGAGTAGGTGTCTGGTGGAGGATTTGGGGAAAACAAGGAGTAGGTGTCTGGTGGAGGATTTGGGGAAAACAAGGAGTAGGTGTCTGGTGGAGGATTTGGGGAAAACAAGGAGTAGGTGTCTGGTAACAATTTCGGGGAAAACAAGGCAGGTGTCTGGTAACAGTATCGGGGAAAACAAGGCAGGTGTCTGGTAACAGATTGGGTGTAAACAAAGCAGGTGTCTGTAACAGATTCGGTGTAAACAAGGCAGGTGTCTGTAACAGATTTGGGGAAAACAAGGGAGGTGTCTGGTAACAGTATCGGGGAAAACAAGGGAGGTGTCTGGTAACAGATTGGGGGAAAACAAGGCAGGTGTCTGGTAACAGTATCGGGGAAAACAAGGGAGGTGTCTGGTAACAGATTGGGGAAAACAAGGCAGGTGTCTGGTAACAGATGCGATGTAAACAAGGCAGTAGGTGTACAATTAGCCTTGGCTGGTAATTCATGTGATTGCCAGTCCCTGTCGACCGGCAAATAAAGTACCTTATAAATCTTTGTTGTTGAACAAAACCTATTTTTTTTAACAAAGTCATCTTTGTCTATTATCAGAGTTTCCCGTTGTCTATTTTTAGTACAAGTAATAACATTTCGCTCTGCGGTTAAATATCTATTTTTAGCAATTTAGTCTCCAGTGAAATGTTGATCATGATGTTGAAAGAATTAAAAGCACACAATTTTCACAGGGTTTTTTATTTGTTCAAAGTTGGAACTGGTAGTTTTTAGAGTTGCCAGACCACTAGGACTGGTAGTTTTTAGAGTTGCCAGACCACTAGGACTGGCAGTTTCAAGAGCCAGCGGGAACACTGGCAACAAAGTGACATTATCCAGCCAAAATGCTTTTGCATACTAGCTCCTCATACCCTGTGTTTTCTTGTCCCAAGTTGTGACGTGACATCTGTCAGGTTGTGGCTGGCTAGTGTCACTGCCGTCCCCCTGACCAGGCCTAGTAGGAATCAGTGTGTGTGTTGAAACAGGTGACTGACCAGAACGAAATACAGGAGTTTGTGCGAGAAGCAGAGACGAGGATAGAACTAGGTGAGTATTGTTCCATCTGAGAACTTGTCAGCGAAACCTTTTACTCTTGTAACATTGTGTACCTGGATAGCTAAAAATTACTATTTACATGTTGTAAGGGGCTGTTGGGGTAGCCTTGTGGTTAAAGTGTTCGCTCATCACACCAAAGACCCAGTTTCGATTCCCACATGGGTACAATGTGTGAAGCCCATTTCTGGTGTCCCCCGCCATGATATTGCTGGAACATTGCTAAAAATGGCATAAAACACACTCACTCACTCACTCACATGTTGTAAATGTTGTACCCCATCAAGATTCTGATTATTGACATGCCGCTTGAATAATGAGTGCAGCTTTAAAAACACAAGAAGCTCTAGTGGTATGTTGTCCTGTGAAACTGCAAAGGTCACAATCAGGTTAAAATAAGCAGAGTTGGCTGCAGAGATAGATAGCGGACCGTGGCCGACAAGCTTGACTCCTGGGAGTTTCTCGAGCCTCGGTCCTGCCCTACATATGATATTTAATACGTGGTTCCACTTTAGGCAAGGGGCTTTGTTTTAAATATGCCTCTGTTCCCTCATCATTCTGGGGATTCTGGGTCAGAACAGTGCCCCATCCTTGTGTTTCCTAAGAGATTCGGTGACAAATTATTTTATTGCAGGACCTTTGGGGAACAAATTGTTGACAGGCATTACTTAGAAGTTGACGGATAACAAAGTAGACACAATTTATGGATAACAACATCTTTAATACTGTAAACATGGTAAAGGTGGCGTTTCAGTGTGAACCTTATAGCCTTGTCAAGCAAGACAACAGTATAAGGATCTAAACCCAAATGTCGCCTTTACAGTATTAAGAAGTTGTAATCCATAAATTGTGTCTACTTCAGGGAGCAGTTTATTTATTTTTTATATCCCAGCACCCACCACCCTCCCTGAATATCACCTGGAATGTCTATTTGTGTATGTTTCAGCTCTTCACTACAGACTTCCATATCCCCGTCCAGTAAGTACATTGTACAAGCCCTGTAGGGTCCGGGTGGTATTGGTCCCCAGCCTGGGAGGCGACCTAATGGGTCATGTGGTCAGACTCTGTGACGTGGTTGATGTCAGTGCCCTGACTGTGGGCATCGCAAATGTCAGTCACTTGGATGGTCTAGACTCGATCATGTACAGGTTGTTGTATTTGTTTTTGTTTGTTTGTTGTTTAACGCTGCACTCAGCAACATTCCAGCTATATGACGGTGGTCTGTAAATAATCAAGTCTGGACGAGACAATCCAGTGATTGACATCATGAACATCGATCTACGCAATTGGTATACAATGAAATGCATCAACCAAGTCAGCGAACCTGACCACCCGATCCTGTTAGTCGCCTCTTATGACAAGCATAGTCGCCTTTTACAGCAAGCATGGGTTGCTGAAGACCAATAATAGCCCGGATCTTCACGGGTTACAGGTTGTTGTAAAAACAAATAGACTTTAATACTTAGTTAGTACTGTGGGGATTACTTTTACACCTCACTAACCCTTTTCTAACCAAAGCTAAGTAATGTATGACAGCAACCTGTAAATACATGCGTCTGGACCATGCAATCTGGTGATTGATATTATGAGCATCAACATCTTCAGTGGACTATGGCATGCAATCGGTCAAGTCACCGAATCCAATAACTAGCTTATTCAACATAATGGAGCAATCAGTGATGGCAGTGAAAGTACATTTTCTTAGAGAAGTTTTACTTCTGAAATGTGGTTAAAGGGACATAACTTGTTCATCATCCTGTATGACACTAGTTCTCTCCCTTTACGCAACAGAGCCTTACCCTGGTGTAACAACTCGTCCACTGAAGGTTTTCAAGATACTCCCTGTGTGTCTAGTTATTTCCACTCCAATGAAATCAGTGATTATTCTAATATTTAGACATTCAAATCCTTTTGAGTACGTATTATTTCAAAAAGAATGAAATCAAATTCCAGAAACATGCACTCGTGGTATATCAGCTGATGAATTGAGTCACATCCCTATGTTGTCCTGTAGTATTCTTCATTAGTACCCAGGGGCACCCATAGGTTATTGGTGAAATTGTTGTCAGTAATTCTCACTGAGCAGGGGTGGTGGGGTAGCCTCGTGGTTAAAGCGTTCGCTCATCAAGTTGAAGACCAAGGTTTGATTCCCCACATGAGTACCATTTGTTAAGCCCATTTCTGGTGTCCCAGCCGTTATAATGAAGGAATATTGCTAAAAGTGGCGTAAAACCATACTCACTCACTCACTCACTCACTCACTCACTGAGCATTACAATATCTGTGTCATGCTGATTGGCTAGTTAACAACATGGGCAATATGAAGATGACACCATCCATTGTTTAAGATATCAAAAACAATTTTATGTGCCATCTTTCCAACAGTAAACTGACTGACCTGATGTCTCCACTAGAGAAGACACAAAGACACAAACATTTTGTTGTTTTTTCTCAGAAAAAATTACTTTGAGTAATTTTAAAAAGTTACTTATTTGCAAGTCAGAATTACGGATTATCTGTCCTTGGTGAATTAATGTTGGAAGTCACTGCCAAGGCTCAGAACTTATAATTCCCCAGGACATAATCCCTAATTCCCATTTCTCGTAGATTTATTTCCGAATCGTGACATACATGTCATAAAGACGTGTAGAATGCATGGTCACATGACAAGGAAGCTATGATCCACAGACAGGCGCCCCTAGCTTTGAAACAGTCACACGTGCAGCGTTGACATTGTCTCTGTAGAAGTAGGGTATTCAATATAATAAGATTGAAGTGCATCCAAAACTGTAAGTTGAAGTAACAAAGTGGTGTCTGAAGCTCTTGAGTCCTGCTTCCTTGTCCTGCCATTACCAGAGCTGAGAGTCCTCTTGACGGTATATGCAGCATTATCATGCCTCCATGTGAGAATGATGAGCTCTGATCTTGATAAAATACTATGTATCCCACCTTGGAGGGAAATAAATCCCTTATACCCTGCCACAAGCAAGACAGGCAGCACGTGGATTTCTGAGAGGCAGAATAAATCCCTTATTCCCCATTTTGAAACAAAAACCCCACACTTTTTCCGAGTCAATGAATGTCACATGACAAAGCACAAGCTAACCCCCATTCAATCAAACAGCTGTTTTCTATCAATATTGAATTTGTTTTAATTCTTTTACAATGTCATATTAAAACATGTCAGTAAGATAAATTCAATGTGCAGGATCACGAGGGTCACATGGGGTTTTATGAATCCCTCGTTATTATTCATACATCACACGAAGTAGAGGTGGGACTGTGTTTGTTGAATTATAAAAGTACATTCTTGATTGATTGTAACAAACTCTGCTCTGTTCTGGGAGAATCTGTAGAAGACAGCTGGTGCTACTGCACCTTGTGGGTGATGTGTGATGTTTCCTGGCACAACCTGACTGACTGGCTGTCAGCGTCGCCATGATAATTACCTCTGTAACTGGCAGCTGTTGCATTCAATGATCCATTTAATTCCCTCAGCAGTGGAAATAGGGCCAGAACACGCTTTGTGTTTGTGAAAAAGACTTCAAGATTTCTGCTGTTTTGTATAAAATGCATGGAAGCAAATGGTGGAGAATGAATAAAAGAAGCAGTTAGTGAATTCAGTGTCATAAACCGTCTGTTTTAGTCGGTTTTGTTTTATCTGTTCGCTGTTTCCATCGTTCTCTTGTTTTTAATCTGATAACGTTTTAGATCCCTTGTTTGAAGGCTGATGCGGACTGCCACAGAGGCCATACTGAAAAATCTATTTATTTTCATTACTCAGCTGATTTTGTTTACAAGTAATAAAATTACATTGATATATGTTTATTAATTGTGGGACGTATCTGTTTTGAATCTAGCAGTATTAATATTTTTGACTTTTGTGTTCTTACCATGCTTCTACGTCTCTCAAACTGCATATTTAGCTGATTTCTCCTCTGTACATGGGCATGTATATTTCTTCTGGTGATGACGTCATATTTCGTTCGAAATCATAAGGATGTTGGTGTTAATTTTAGTGTTCAGTATTAATGTGAAAAGTTTTTGAATATCAATGCCAACAGCAAGTGTCTATCTTTGTTGACATGTTAAACTGTTGACTACATGTACAGGTAAGCTAGATATGTAACAGTGTTTTGTGGCGTTACAGGTGAACATTCCCCAGCAGACTCTGCCGCCCCGCGGGGCAAGGATGAGGGCACAGAAGCGCCAGATAGAACAGTCCAAACCCATCTACCTCAAGTCCTACAAGGACACCAAGGACTAGGTGTCTGGTGATCTGTAACAGCAGCAGTGTTGATTAGTAAAGATAACCAGATCTGTGTCTTGAATTCCTCTACCTACAGTCATGCCATATTGCCATTGTTGGATTCGTGTTACCCCAAACTGTCCTGTGGCGTTTTTGTGTTTTGAAAGGAATGTATGGCTAGCTTTGCCTCCGACAACTTGTAAAATTTGCTGACTGATGTAAATTTGTATATCAAATCCCACAAGAATGTGTGAGTTATGTATGGTCTAGATGGTGGCAAGTCAGAACATTACCTTGTATATGCGAGCCATGTTTGTGGTAGATAGAGGACAGGACAAATATGTGTGTGTCCAAGTGTTAAGTGCCCAAGTGTTAACAGCATCAAGGTCGATACTGTTTTGAAGTGAAATACCTTTACTAAAATGCCAATCTTGAACAGTGAAATGACCTAACAAAGATCTTTTTACTCAAAACTTCTTTTTATATGTATAGGTATGTGATCCAAAACTTGTAAAACCTTCAAATTTGGAACCTTAACCTAAGGCGTTTGGTTTTGAATGAATTTTACAGTTATCAAATCTATTTTCGAAACATCAAACTTAAAAACACAGGATGTTTATCTCCTTAAAAACTTAGTCTGATATTTGTAATACCAGACATGGGCATGTGGTTATGTTGGTCTTGTGAGCAGTGTTAGTTCAAGGGCCATGGTTAGCCAGGGTTAGAATAGGTCCCCAACAACCTATGCTGGTCATAAGAGGTCACTTATTGGATCAAGTGGTCGGACTTGGTGCCTTGGTTGATTAAGTGTTAAGTGGTTGACGTAGTGGATCATGGCTGATACTAACAATCATTGGTCCAGGTTCGATAACATGCAGGATGCTGTTATATCGCTAAATTATTGCAGTATTGAGTAGGGTGTTGAACAACAAACAAAGGGCACACTGTAACTAAAGACAGCCATAGCACCAAGAGTGCTTCTGATATAAGAGGTACCTGTGAAGATCCAGGTTGGAATTGGTCTTCGCCAACCTATGCTTTTCATTAGAGACGACTGATGGGAGGGATCAGTTGGTCAGACCAACTGACTAGGTTGATGCATGATATCGTATCCCAATTGAGTATTCAATGCTCAAGATATCAATCACTGGATTCTATGGTCCAGACTTTATTATTTACAGACTGCGGTCATATAGCTGGAATATTGCTGAGAGCAGGGTTAAACAACACACAAACAAACATGATATGAGATGTAGGTCAAGTGGTATTTGGTGCAATGGCAGGCACTCCCTGGCCTATCCAAGAGAGCAACTGTAGCTTCAGTAGGAGGCACAACACCCGCAGTGTCTTCCTCCTCTGGTTCCAAGTTTGATATGCGAACATGTTTGCATGATTTAACTCTCAAGTCGTTTTGTATGTGTGAAATAAACAGAATAATAAACCAGTGATACCTTCTGTTGTAGCCTGAGTACTGGACAATACCTGGAAGATACAGGCCAGTATTCTTACATTTTTTAGTTTCATTTCTTGGGCGAGTTTTTCCACGGAAACTTGACAAGATATACTTTAAAGAGATGTGTTTGATTTCGGATTTGTTGAAATATCACCCATCGTCATCTGACAACACCCTGTGGCTGGTTTTATTATGTCATCATATCCAGATGGTTGTTCATGCTATCAACCACTGTGTTGCCTGGCCCAGACTCGATAGGTTCATGGGGGCACGGGTGGCCCAGTCGTCTAAGGCGCCGCAATTCGCTGTGCAGAGTTGCGTCCCTTGGCCACGCCAGAAACCTATGATTGTGGGTTCGATTCCCGGTTCGCCCCGATTATGTTTCTAGGTTTGTCAGCACCATACCCGTGCTCGTGGGTTTCACCGAACTGGTAAACGCCTAAGACCTGCATCACTTCGGGCTTTCCTCCCACATTAAGCTGACAGGCTGCGATATAACTGAATACTGTTAAAAGCGGCGTTAAACCCAACTCACTCACTCACTCACTCGATAGGTTCAGACCTCCTTGATGAAGAGGGTATACTGCTAACGGCTGCATAGAACAACAAATTGATTCACGGACTTAAATTAAACTAGAACATGGAGAAAGCACGACACGTGGATACATTGTTGCTTTATGTTAGCTATGATGTACTATGATGGAGTGAGCAGACGTGATCGGAACAGCGTGGGATGAAGCTGCTTAGTGACATGGCCAACATTGCATCCATAAGTCCGGCTTCAAAGATAAACCGAATTCCATAACTCCTTCTGAAACTTAATTGTGAAAATGTTGACATCTTCGATAGGTACTTAAAGGAAAAAGTACAAATCATCAATGCATAAATGTTATCAGCATAAGCATGATAAGTCGTAGATCAACAGCAACTCACAAAAAAGTGTGTTTTTTGTGCTCCTCGTTCTCCCCATGATAGTGATACGTAACCTATTTTTTCAGGTTACAAATGAGCTGTTGCTTATTGAATATAACAGTAGAGTCCCAGAAAAGGTGATTTTTGAAACTTGGAAAACCTGCAGACGTTGCTTTTGTATCCGACATCGAACTTTTAAAATGCCCCCAAAAGCACTTGAACTCTTTGCCTTCACGTTGTTATGTGGGTCCGCTGACAGTATTTATCGTGACATTCAAGTTCAATTAAGTTCTACTTCGTGTAATAAAATACACTGAATAGTACCACATGTGACACCCGAACCTTTAAAAGCAAAGACTGTCTAAAGAGGAGGCTGTGCAGAACATTTTGCAATATTATTCGGACAATATGAACAAATGCATACTAACGTATAAACAAACAAAAGATATTTTATAGTTTCAACGTCATATATTACTAGCTACTGAATTCTGAAGACAAGTAACTGTGATCATTTTATCAGATTTTGTACACACTGCTCGACTAGTATTGACTACTGTGCTTAACCTACTTCCACACAAAAAAGTTCTATTCCGGTCCATAATATGTGTTAATGTCACGTCAACGTGCTATTCCTGTATCCAAGCAACCCGTCAGCTGTGAATAATGTTCCACCTGCTGCCATCTCCATCTGCTGTCCGCGTCATATGTGATCTCTAGCTCCACACTGTAGCACCATTTCATTGCACTCTGATTCCCTGCCAAGACCATCTTTGACCCCCGCAAAACAACGTGTGACATTCTCTTATATATCCCAGAGACCATAAAATAGTTGAGGCTCTCTGCTACCCTAGAGATTCTAACGATACTTCACACCTTTGTTAAGAGTGAGTGATCTGGGTTTAACGCCGCTTTTAACAGTATTCCAGTTATATATATTGCTGACAAACCTAGAAATATAATCGGAGCGAACCGGGATTCGTGAAGAAAAGCCAACGACCTTGAAAGAAAGTATGTTACAAGCTATGACGAGAGAATGTATGTCTAAGACTATTGTTTGCGAAGATGTGGTGTTATCAGCGTTTGTCACAACGCCCAGTCCAACATGGTTTATTGCTACTCTCTGCTCTCGGACCTGCTGTATTTCGCTAGGCCTGGATACCTCGTTGCTACCGTGTCCTGTTAGTACATTTACACCTGGAAAAAAACATCACCTATTTAGTATATGTTTCAATATAAAAGAGCCATTAAAAATATATCCTGTATAAATTTTCTGATGAAATGTATCTTGTTGATGAAATGACATACTCATATTGAAAAACAGAAATCAATATCGATGACCCTTGTATTTTTTCCCTTGGCTTATTTGTATCATATGATATGACTATTCACTTGTGACCATCTTGGAAACAGACGATGTTCATGTGATGACGTTGCGCTGGAGATGGTAGGCCAAGCAGGTCCTTCCATGGCGTTTCACATGTGTTTTAATTTGACTGTATTTATGAAAGTACATCTACAGAGCGACAGACACCTGTCACCCAGACATAATATGTGACAGCTTACCTTTTATTGATCTACAAGTTCCAGGTAGCGAAGAGAAATGAGATGACTGGTTTGTCAGTAAAATGTGTCCAACAAATGTATCGTTCCACAATCCACACATCACTGTCAAATATCACGTTGGTGTTACTTTAAATAGATACATGGTATTGATGTATACTCTAAACAGGATCCATGTCACGACAAGGGTATCTCAGCAACAGAAATACCTTGTACCAAAACTGTAAATCACGTGTCAGAGAATCCCAAGGGATTTCATTGGAAGCGATACCTCGTGTCAGTAGTTATACATCTACAGTGGCCATTTTATGTTCATTGACACATAGAGGCATGCCAGAATGGTCAGCGCTAGTCTTTTCAGATATATTTTACTTTTTATATATGAATGATATTTATGTTGCATCGGGACAACAGCGCAGAATATATAATTATGAAATAAAAGATGCAAAAACCATTTCCACAATCATAAGAAGTCTTCACTATAAGTCGATTGTACGGTTCTGTCATGAGCATGTGTCACGCTAAGAAAATGATGATACCAGTTGTTCGCGACAAAAAATAAGTATCAAATTGCACGAGGAATGATTAATAGAACAGTTAGTATAGTGATGAAATGATACCGGTAAGTTCATGTCTGGGTGAATGAACTCAACGGTTTGGTGGGAAATACACGAAGAAGGCAGACTGGCGCGAATTTGTCACGATTGCCGAGACAGCCTCCCCTCACTACATACCAACCTTCCGTTACCAAACGGGACGGTCGGGTAGCCTAGTGGTTAAAGCGTTTGCACGTCACGCCGAAGAACCGGGTTCGATTCCACACATGGGTACAATGTGTGAAGCCCATTACTGGTGTCCCCCGCCATGATATTGCTTGCATATTGCTAAAGGCGGCGTAAAACCACACTCACTCCGTCACACTACACCACCCTCTCATTTAATGTCATTGTCAGGGTGCTTCATTAGATGGCCAATCAGATAAAGCGCACATAAAATACGAAGAAGTTAATCTGGCGATTTTGAGCTATGACACATCATGTATCATTTTCTCTCACTTCATTGTCCAATTTTACCATATTGAGTCAAAAGCCATATTTATAAAAAAAACATTGAAGCGAAGTGTGTTGTATAGGGCGAGACGGGAAGCCTTTTCAACATCAATTTGCAATAATAAGCCTGGCTCTTTTTGTTATTTCATTTCATATATATATGTTTCATACATTAGTCTCACATTTTTACTGAAAGATCTTCCAGGAATGAATCCATCCTTTTTTTGTTTTCTTAGAACACTTCTGTTCATTGTCTGTGTTATTTTATTGTTTATTAATTAAGAAATACTCGTGTACACAAATGATTCCAGAACAAATTGATGAACTTCGGGATGGGTTTTTATTGTTTTTCATTTAAAAAAATGTTTTTAAAAGTTCCAATATTTCAATAGCCCTTTTCTAAACTGTAAGGAATTGTTTATGGTGTCTTGATTTTGTCTAATACTTCACTAGTTTCATCGAGATGAAATCTTTGGATGAATATAGTTGCTAATAGTTTTTGTTTGTTTGTGGTTTACGCCACACTCAGCAATATTCCAGCTATATGACGGCAGTCTTTAAATAATCAAGTCTGGAACAGACAATCCAGTGATTAATGTCATAAGCATCGACCCACGCAAGTGGGATACGATGACATGCATCAACCAAGTCAGCGAGTTTGACCACCCGATCCCGTTAGTCGCCTCTTACAACAAGCATGGGTTGCTGAAGACCAATGGGGGGATTTTTCAGGAGCGAATGGGACAAAGAGTAAAGAAAATCCATGCACATACTTTTAAACTGGTCCTAGTGTGCGCAGAACGTTTCCCCAAGTTCCAAATGCAATTTTGAGATCCTCAGGATATTACCCCTGTGACTACATACTAGAAACTAGAAATTTGACCTATTTCAATGAATTCATCTGGGAAATTCCGATACAACCCTATTTCCCCAAACATTTGTTGTAATCCCCGGCTGACCTAAGAATATGTTGTTTTTCAAACCGTTTCATTTCAGTTCAAGTATATCGTCATTTTCAGGTTGCTTTATAAGATTAATTGATGAACAGTAAGGCGATGCGCACATAAAATACGTAGATAGTGGATAGGACTTCATATTGTATCGTTTTGAAATCTTAGCTTCGAAGAGTAAATAATTGTTCAAGGGTTCCATGTTCTCGGTAGTAACACGTGTATCGTAAAAAAACGTCTGTTACCTTTTGGGTGTGACAGCAAATCCCATATGGTAGGGTTGATACTTTGATTATTAATAACCCATGTGTTCTCTTACTACCTTTTCCCGTGATTCAGGAATACTTAAATTCTGATATTGCTCCTTTGATTTGATATGTTGTTTCTGCTCACCAAATGAATAACTGTTTCATTGGAAAGTTTCTGTGTTATAATTTGTTATCTCTTTTCTTAAGTTCGGGCAATTTAATGGATCAACAAAGGTTTTGATGCCTTCCATAACCCCCTTCTTCAAATTTTC